ACACACACACACACACACACACACACACACACACACACACACACACACACGTCAGGTGCGCAGCCTGCCCAGCGACTGGTCCATTCTGAACTCCAGTCCCTTTTGCCCTTCAGCCTGGACCTTTGCAAACAGACCAGCATTCCTGTACTAGATACTCAAGGGTCGAGAATGTGTGCTCTTTGGAAAGATGTGTCTGATGTGAGCACCCTGGCTCACACGCTGAAGAAGATGTTCTTGGCTTTAACTCGCCATCAGCGTGTAAGTCCCCCAGAAGGGACTCAATGCGCTCCTTCCTGTTTGTATTTCCGGTCCCTCCTGTCAAAACCCTGAGGTCCGCTATGGTCAGGGGTGTGAGGTTGCGGAAGCAATGGCAGGAAAACACGAGTTTCTGGCCAGTCATCTCAGATGTATTCCTAGGATACAGATGTTAACTGTTTTCCACCAGAGTACTGCTGAATTGAGAATGGATTCAAGATCTGTTTGAAGGAAAAGCAGATGGCCTGTCCCCTACAGCATGCATGAAAGAGTGTGGTGCACTGAAAATCAAACTGCGCTCTCCTAGCCTGGTTCTCTTTTCCTCTAGCACTGGGGGAGTCTCTTTGACCTCTACTCCCCCTAGCGGGGAACTGTGGTAGCGGTAGTGTTTGGGGGCGCAGAGTGTGAACAGGGACGTTTTTTGAAGGTAGAGCGGAGGTGGGAATGTTTTGGGGATGGGGTCGGGTGGTAGTGGTGTTTGGGGGCAGTGAGGTAGGGTGGAATGAGGTAGGATGGTATTTGAGGTGTGGTCTTAGCTTCAGGGAATTAGCCTGCTGGAGGTTTGTCTTGAGAGCCTTTTCCTTCTTGTGCACAGAAGTCCCGCTCTGCCCCCTGGTGGAAGCCACCCAAAACTCAAGGAGAAACGGACTTCTAGGCCGCCTTTGATTGTTTCTTGCTATTTCATTCTTTCTTAGTGTCTCACCTACCTCGGACCAGGTTCCAGGCCTGCCACTGTCCTTGACGCTCTATCGCGTGTACAGGCATGCGAGGGCTGCTCTAACTGAGCCCCGCAAACAGAATGGCTTTAAAAACAAAGGCAAGGGTTAGAGGGTTGGCAATGTATGCAGCCATGAATAATCTCCCAGTTCTGGAAGCAAGCGGTCTGACGCATTGACTGAGCCAAATTAAACTCCTTCCGATGCCGGTAGAGTCTGTAGAGGAGTCTTTCCTGGCCTCTTCATAGTTCCAGAATTTCCAAGCAATCTTCTCTTGGTCACGAATGTTGCTCCAGTCCTCAGCCTTCGGGGGACTTGCCTTCTCTCTGCTGTCATCCCTCTGTGCCTCTCTCTGTATCTGCAATTCCTGTTTTCTAAATCGGACAATGCTCCTGTTGGATGAGGGACCACCTATTCATTAGACATCATCTAAGGGCTGGGATTAGAAAGTCAGCATGCAATAAAATGGAAAGTATCATACTTGGTTTACAGAAACCCCAGTGACCTTGAATCGAAACGTCCACCACAGGCTCCTGTTGGAACATGTGTTCCCCAGAGAGTGATGCCTCTTTGGGAGGCTGTGGAATCTTTAAGAGATGCGGCCTAGCTGGAGGAGATTGGTAGGCCACTAGGGGCGAGCCCTGGAAGGTTACAGCCTGGCCCCTGGGTTCAGCGCTCTCTCTGTTTCCTGGTTCTTGGAAATACAGCTTCATCTTCATGTTCCCATGGCCACCATGGCTTGCTATTCTGATGGCCTGAAATTCTAAAGTAAATAAACCTCTCCTCCATTAAGCTAGGTTGGGTAGCTTGGGCAGAGTTGTTTGCCCGCAGTTACTAACACTGCATTAGCTATAATCACACCATTTTGTAAAGCTCCTCCATTTTGGTTAAAGTGGCAATTCCTGAAACCACAATAATTTGGTCTCTAAAACTAAAGTAACTTGTTTTCCTAAATAGCCTTCCCTCTCTGCCTTCATTGGCTGATTCTGAAACAGCCTGTCTGCAGGCCTCTGCCATGTACCAGTCTTCAGTTGATGTAAAGAAAACTCAAAACAACAGAATTGATTTTACAAATGATCTGCTAATAATTTGCTTAGGAGACATTAAATCACACAAATGGGATTTAGGTAAAGGAGCTCTGCCTCCAAACTACCCCAAAGATAACCAGGCCTGTGAGAAATAAGTGGAAATTTAGGATGCAAGGGTATAAATGTTTGTTCACCAGGACTGACCAGTCTTTAGGCTGGTAACAATGGAGACAGCACCGACTTAGAACCAGCCATTGGGCCCATCTCCTACAAACAGGCAGCCCCAGGGGGCCGTTCAGGGTCACAACCATCAAGTCTGGGTCTGCAGTTAAGTCCCCTGCGCCCTTGTCAGGAAAAGCACACTTCTGCCAGGTTGACAAGATGGACCTGTGTAACAACTATTCAAAAAGAACAACACTGTTACACTTAAGAAGTATTACCAGTAATATCTTTGTTGTGTAAATCTTCCATGTGCTCAAGTAGACAGACTTGCATTCTCCTTTCTCAGTTTAAGTTGTTCAAAATGTAACCTGAGGCCAGGACCTACATGAGATTCAAGAGTGACAGGATGTGTGGATGCAAGTTAGTAAAGTCCTCCACTCAAGGCCCACTCCTCTTTGGGCGTCCGCCATAGAGCGCCACATTAGCCGAGCACCTTTTCGGTAAAGAGCTTTCTCCTTGTTTTTCCTGAATACTTAGAGTGATTTCTCACTGGGGAGGCATGTCACAATCACATGCACAGAACCTCCCTGCTTCCTCTGAAACCTAGAGAGCCAGCCCCACCCCATCACTTGGGCCTGTGTCTGTCTATGGATCTGTGGCACTGACAATCTACACCAATGTTCCTCTTGAGCCCCAAACCCGAAAACTTTCACACCTGTCTCATTCTCTGCAATCTTCCTTCCAACCCAACGTTACAGCTGCCCCAGTTGTCCAGTCATTCGGGCAGAGATTTGACCTTTGAATTTCTAATCTGATGTTCTAGCAGAACATGGTGGCCTTGCTGTGTGTCTCCATCCTTCCTCCCACCCATCCAGACTCCTCCACTCGATGACTGGAATTCAGAAAGCAGACTTTCTCTCACCTCCTAGGATGATTTGCTTTGTGTTTCTATATATGGAGCCATAGTTTTCCCCAAAGAAGAAATCTAGAAGTTTCTATTATTCGTTCAGCCCTTTAACATCCTGCAGTCTCAGAGGATTCAAGGGAAGATCCTGGAGGGACGTGTGAGTGAATAGGGAAGGGAGGGGACAGAAAGCACAGTCACTCCCTGGAGCAGCCCCTGTCTCTGGGGAGAAACATGGTGGTCACTGATGCATCCTCAGCTTCTGAGCATCCCTTAGAATAATGCCTTGGGTCTACAAACTAATGAGCGAATCTCCCTTCCCTAATGGTGCAGCGCTGTGTTCCCCCTAATGAAGGTTGATTGGCACCACATTCAAATGCAAATCTCAGTCTTTGTTTCTTTCGCATAACTTCTTTTTTTTTTTCCTTTTAAAGCAATGCTCTGGGGGTGCTGAGAGTCTCAGCTCAATTGCAAATCTCAGATGGGGTTGAGGTTTTACTTCTTCAATTCCCTCCCAAATCCCCATTTTCTCAGAGCCATCAAGAAAACTATGTTCTTTTTGAGTTCCCCTTAAATTTAAAAGAGATGATGGGCTCAGAGTTGAATAGAAGTAGAAGCAAGTTCTGATGGAGCAGGGCTACACCACAATAATAGAGGAGCTGGGAGCTGGGTCTCCTGTCCACTCCCCCCACCCATCCCACCATCACCCACCCCCTCCACCCATCCCACCATCACCCACACCCACCCCCTCCACCCATCCCACCACCAACCACACCCACCCCCTCCACCCATCCCACCATCACCCACACCCACCCCCTCCACCCATCCCACCACCAACCACACCCACCCCCCTCGCTACTCTCAGGGTCTTACTGTCTCATGCTCTCTTACCAAGACTCACCTAGGAGGAGTTGGAAAGCTGGCTCAGTCTATAAACTGCTTGGCATTCAAGCATGAGTACCGAAGTTCAGTCCCTATAACCTATGCTTAAACAAAACAACAGCAACAAAAAAAGGACCAAGCGGTGGTACTGGCTTGCGATCCCAGCACTGGGAGGCAGAGAATCTCCCGGACCCACTGGCCAGCAGGCCTGGCCTAATCACTGCTACCCGGGCAGTTTCCTCAGTGTTCATCTGTCTCCCGTCCGGTCTGGACAGTTCTGCAGAAAGCACCGGTGATTAGGACGAGGAGGAGGAGGAGGGACCGAAGCATCCTCTGACGGTAGCATGAGCTTTGTTTCTTGTTTGCTTGCTTTCTTTTATGTATTACATTTATTTATCTATTGTGGTCATGTGTAGAGGTCAGAGGACAGTTTGTTCAAGTCAGTTCTCTCTGTCTGTGGACATCCACACATCCACCATGTGGACGCCCAAATCAAACGAAGGTGGTCAGGCTTGGCAGCCAGTGCTCGTCCCTGCTGGGCCACCTTACAAGGCCAAGAGTTGCTGTTTTGTTTTGTTTTGGAGTGTGGTTTGCCACAAGTGGTCAAAATGTGGAGATTAAGTGTCTATGAAGAACTCAGCCACAAAGGAGACACCTGTATAGCTCCCCTTCCTTCCAAGGCTTAGGAACCATCGTAGAAGGGGAGGCAGAAAGCATGTAAGAGCCACAGGTGAAGGAAGACTGGGGTGAAGCAATATCTTCTAGGCATGATGGGGCAGCTACACTCATGAACTCAAGGTGACTGTGGTTGCCTACAGAAGGCCTGCACAAAATTGAGCCAGTGGGCATTCTGAGGTAGGCGTGGGAGGGACTCAGAGTTCCCACCGCTAACTCAGGAGCTATTGGCAGTCGATGGCTTGGGGAGAGTGAGAGTTAGTTTTCTTTAAGGCTATGGTCCCCAGCAGGTCATCACACTGCAGTGGATAGCCCCATACCCATGGGTATATGGGCAGCACAAATTAGACCCAGTGGGTCATTTGAAAAAAAAATGAGGCCATAAGTTTGGGAAGGAGTAAGACGGTGGGAGGTGGATCCGGGAGGAGTTGGGAAAATCAAAATAAAATTGTATGCATGTATGAAATTCTCAAAGAATTAATGAAAACATTGTCATATTAAAACTTTTAAGCGCCTAGGCTAAGGAGACAGTTCAGTGGGTAAAGTTCTTGTTGTGGAAGTACATGACCAGGGATCCCCAGACCCCACATAAAAGCTGCTCAGTGTGGAGGCCCATTGGTAATCTCAACATCCAGGAGGCAGAGACAGAGGGTCAGAAAGCAAGCCACCCAGATAGTCTAGCAGAATCGTTGAGCTCTGGGTTTAAATGAGAGACCTTGCCTCAATATACAAGGCGGAGAGTAACTGAAGAAGACAGCTGACCTCAGGCTCCAGCCTCTACAGGCACACAAGGACATACACATACATGTAAACACACATGCACATCCCTACACACACACTGAAAGGGTTTTCCATATAACACGGTGGAAAACCTGACAACACCGAACATGTACAAACACTGTACAATAACATGCATGGATTTCACAAACATGAAATCAAGTGAAAAGTATACTCCCCATGCCAAAAAAAAAAAAAAAAAAAGATTTCTTAGTAAATCTATAAAGGCTGCGCCAAATGTCTGGTTCATGGTGCATTCTAAGGTGATGAAAACAGTATGGAAAGTGAAAGAGCCAATACCAAAGATGCTTGAGCATGCTTTCCTACGGAGGAGAAGAAAAATGAGGGGCATGAGGAGACCCGGTTCCGCTGGTCTTGATCCCTTTCTCGGCCTGGGTAGCAGCTCCTTACACAGGTGTTAGCATCCCCACACTGACCGCTTACAGCCTATGTATTTTTCTATACTTGTCTATTACAGTTTGGATACTGGATATCCTCTTGTGTCGAAGGCTTGGTCCCCATTCTGGTGTCCAGTGATCAGGCTTTGGGAAGTGCCTGGACTGTGAGGGGGCAGATGTCATCGGTGGGTTCATCCGCTCAGGGTTCATATTTGATGACATGATTGGGAGGTAGACGTGCCTCACCGGAAGAAGTAAGTTATGGGAAGGGGCCACTCAAGGGTTCTCTCCTCTCTTCTTGTCATACTCACTTTTCTATTGCTGTGAAGAGACACTATAGCCAAGGTAACTTACAGAAGGAAGTACTCGATTGGGGCCTTGCTTACACATTCAGAGGGGCATTCCATTATCATCATGGCAGGGAGCATGGAGGCCACCATGGTGCTAGATCAGTAGCTGAGAGCTACATCCTGATCTGAAAGTCGGAAGCAGACAGAGCAAGACATGGCCTGGCTTGGGCCTTGGAACTTCAAAGCCTGCTCCCAGTGGTGCACCTTCACCAACAAGACCACACATCCCAATCCTTTCCAAGACAGTCCCTCCAAGTGGGGATCAAGTATTCAAATAAATGAGCCTATGGGAGCTATTCTCA